ATCGTTGTCTTATAGTCAAAAGATATAATTTCCCCGCAATATTACGACTGGATCAAGAAGTGGTATCGGGTCAAAAGCACTAGGAATTCAGTAATAAGGTGGCCACAAAAAAGTATTTTCTTAGAAACCGGCGATGAGATCAAAATTTACACTGCGTTATCAGGTTGTGTTGTGAGAGCGCAGTATTGCTTTGATTTTGTTGCCAGTTCAATAAAATCAGGAAAAAAGTAGACGTTCCAAAGTAACGCTGAGGAAGCGCTTCATTAGTCACCACTTTAGGTGTTCCAAGATGGCGCATTCTCGTGCAGCATTTCGAATCTGCACGATTGCTTCTCAATTTGCAAATGAAACATAATAACTTTCTTCATTATTGCGAATGTTCAGCCCTTTGGAGACTATGAGTACCTTTTTAATGCTCACGCGCGCGACGTCATATTTAATTCAGGTACTGTAATTGCGCCGTCGCCCCTCTGAGCAAATTTGTATTGGCGCAGGCGCAATGGAATTAAGGGATTTTCTTAGGTAAATAAAAGTTTTGAGAGAGCATTATTACTACGATTTGATGAAACATCTTTGAAAAGTGGTCTTGGGATATAATTTCTATAATATGAATGCCTAAATGTAAAAAATTCCTTATGTTTCACACAAAAACACACCGCTATGAAAGAAGGCATATTTGTAGCTGCTATACAATATTTATTTTTTCTTAGTCGATAGATTGAGGAATGCCAAATTTTATACTGAGCTTGTTTTTGATTCTATCTCCTTACTACGCTTTCCTAACCAATGAAAAGTGACTTTTTAAAATCACAGTCCATTTTCAAACTTCACATAGGAATGTTTGGTGTTATATAGTGAACTTTCTGATTATATTGGAAACAAATTATTACTTGAGGGGTACCTGAAAACTTATTTTTAGTCAAAAGGCCGTCCTGTTTCTTTGAAAAATTCCACTGTGTCTTACGAATTGGATGGAATGCAGTCGTGTGAATTGTGTTCGCGTTTCCTTTCCTTTTCCCTCAGCAGAACTTCTATATTAGACTTTTGGTAATCATTCAATAGCTCGAAAACTGAAATTTTCAGTACAAAATCTTATATGTAACAAGATATTCATATGCTTTGCTAACAAGATTATAAGAACTTTTTGCTCAAGAGCGCATGTGACGCAATGGTTAGAGATGTTATGTGTTCCACGCAAGGTCAGTGGTTCGATTTCGTGCTCATAGCAACAAGCCTTTCATCACTCCTGTATCGGTAAATTAGTGCCAAACTTTCCTCAGAGGATAGTAGCGTGGCTTCATACAGCGGTAGGGCATCGAAAGGCATTCCAAAGGCTGCAGATGCACTCAAGCACCTCAAAAAAATTTAAATGGATAATACAAGAAGTTATTACCCATAATACAATGGAATAGTCTCTTCGATCTACATAGAAACTCTCAACTCCTAAAGTATGCTAATATTTTTAAAGTAGTCGATGAAGTGGTATTACATTGCAATCTGCACTGTCAATTTCAAAAAATAAGCATTATCTTATAATTGTTCTGGCATATTTCATTTGAATATCCTTACTGAAGTCTTTACATTCCAATTTCGTCTTCTATTGATGACAAACTCTCTCTAATTGACAAAAAAGTCTGTATCTCACGAAACTACATCTCTGGGAAGATTACGTGGCGTCAGTCGCAGGGTCAATCGCATCGATTACCGCATAGGCAATGGCGCGACGCCACTTGCCTATCAACTGTAGTACTCAGCGTAAAAAAGTAAGCTACCAGAAAAATCTAAACACTGTTTTTATAAAGTAAAAGGCCATTAGGATATACAAATCACTTTAAGTTTTTGATGTCTTCCAACATTTTTAAAGTAAGAAAACGCTTTTAGGGAAACATTTATGAATCTTACTAACTAGATCTACGCAAAACTGCACTTAATACTGTTCGAACTTTTCTTTTATCGGGTAACAGTAGACTCGCTCTTTAGGTCGCAAAACTGCTGCGCAGCATGTGATGGCATGGCATCGGGTTCAAAAGAGTGCTGGTAGGACGATTGCTTCTCAAGTGAAGTTAGATTGTCCAAGAAGCACTTCTTTCATTGCGCGTGCCGATTCACAGTAGGTCGAAAGTGCCTGTGGTTAAGGATTTCAATGATCGTCGGCATGCGCGGGATCGTTCCAACTCGAAAAATAATGAAGGTCTTCCGATTAGGGGGGAAAATAAAAAACCAATCTCAATCGCTGGTGAGAAATTTTTTATAAGAGTGCCAGTAACTACCCGAAAGCTGAAGCTTAAGGCTACAACCCCCGTGTCGCTCTTTCAAAACACCTCTTTGAAACGATTGTAGCATCCACGTCAAAAATTACGTTTTCGCACTCTTCTTTTGTCTTCATTTTTATTATGGGTATAATCCGCCAAAATTTCGATCGCCTCCTTTGCTCCACCTTTGCCACTCCCCCTGCCACAACCCTCACCTTGTCGAATGGCCTGTAACAAACTTCCATTAATGTAAAACTCGATCTTATTTTTTCTGCTAACCCGTATTTCCAGAAAATAAGCACATCGCTAGAGTCAAAAAACATGGTGCTATAAGATGATTACTAATAGTCTAAAGAAGGAGTTCTGTTAGGCGAGGTTAAAGCATAAATCAAAAAAACCAGAGGATATTAAGAGATCGAAAGAGCTTTTCAAAAAACAAACACATTTTTGAGTTCTTCAAAGCTTGCGCTACAAGGAGTACTAGCACTCCACAGGAGGAGTGCTTGTGAGCACAAATATAAGCGAGATAAGGGAAAAGGAACGTGGTTCTATGGAACATAATTTTGATTTTATGTCAAATGTTATAGCTTTAAAAAAAGGTGTTTTGAAAACCGGCGACCTGTGCTGTAGCCTGAAGTTTCACCTTTCTAATGGTTACTAACACTCATGTAAAAAGTTCTTCTTTAGCTAATGAGGTCGGTCTTTTTATGCCCTTATAATCAGAAAGAACTGTGATAAATTCTGATTCGACCATTTCAGACAACAAATCTCAAGCACCATCGCTGGTGTAATGTTCTTGGCTGTGATACGATTTTTTGCGGTTGCTGAAGTGCTGAATAAGCAGTTCCGTATCGTAGCAATTCCTCGTCAAAATAGTTCCGCATTGTTCAAATGAATCGTTAAGTCGTCAAGAATTTTACTGGAAGATCTTCTGTGCGCTTTAGATACGATAATGTAATAGCCAGAGTTTATGGTTATTGGAAAAAATCTTCACATTTAGCGATTTTGATTCAAGAGTCGTATAAGTGCCTTACTTCTTTTCAACTTTTGTATGGATATCTCAATGATGCATGAAACCACACATTGTGGCTTTATCCATGCCAGAATGAGAATTATTACAGTGCCGTTCTTTCGCTGACTTTTCTACTTAATGAAATGCTCAAGAGGTGTTGTTTGAGTAACCTAGCTAACAGAAACGGAGGCAGCAGTGAGAGAAATTTCAACAAGAGGTACTACACTTGAAATGGTAGAGAGCAAAATTCACTTAAGTTGAATTTCGTGCTTAGCGCATTTTTAGCTGTGCCATATTGTTACAACTATATACAATGATGCGAGTGAATCAACGATTGATTTCTGATAAGCAATTTAGATGGTGGTAATAACAGTATGTATTGAATGCCAGTAGTGCAGTACAATGACACATTACAGTAATGCACCACTTGGACAAGTCTCACTTACTTCAGAGTCTGGAAAGGTCAAACTGTCTTTAGTTCATTCATTTACAGCTACTTATACATTGACTCTGAGCGGTTGGTTTCCGATAAATAATTAGAATACCTAAATAGCCGATCGCTAAGTGTTATAAAATCTGAGTTTTTTGCTATACAATTCAAAATTTGTTTCTTATAGTTTCCCGCCCGAATTGCGAAAGTGTTGGACTAGAGGATTACAATTCAATTTGGCCTTACCAAGCTCTGGAGAAAGTGAGACTCGTCAAAGTACTGCATTGCTGTAAAGGATTATTGTACTCCATTATTAGTACTCAGTATACGCAACAGTTTCCAACCTCGGAATCTCTTATCAGAAAAGAAATGTCTGATTCAATCAACATTGAATATTTCCTTGAAAGGATGATGACGGTCACTATGACCCTCAGCTGAGCACGATGTTCGGGCGATTACGAAGATCGGTGCGTGCTCCAGTAGAAATTCCGGTTAATTAAGCCCTTAGAGAAACATTTTCACTAAAAATCAAATATCACTGATGAGACTCTTCTGTAAATAATTCTAATAAGATTAAGGCTAATGCTTCCAAAAACTTGCCTTTTTCCAATGGAAAAGCCAGAATCTCGCAAAAAAAGAATGTATTTCCAGCTGTTACCAAAAGTCTCTCTTATCATCTTAATATTTTTGTTGTGATTAGTCAGAGCTCGGAAAAAAATTTCGACTTTGTAGTAAGCTTGTGGTGTAAAAAGATTTTCTTTTACATTCTGCTAATAAATAAAAGACAACGTTCTGCTATCGCAGTCCATTTGTAATTTCATAGCGGATTTTTTGGGATTATTTGGTTAGATTTCGATTTTTAGAAACTTTTTTGCGAGGAAGTAGTTAATTTATCATTTAAAAAATATTCGGATATCATTTTTATTTGACCGCCGATTGCGGTGTTATGATGTTTAAATAAACCCAATGATGTAGAGTGGTGCGCAAAAACGTTTGCGTTAGGGCGAGATTTGAACCCAGATCCTACTCTTTCAGGGAGCATGTACTAAACCGTTGCACCACTGACACTCAAGTTGCACTCCACTCTTTCTACGATGTTGCACACCACTCTACATCACTGGGTTTATTTAAAATCATAACACCGCAATCGGCGGTCAAATGAAGATGATTTCCGATTGATTATTGAACCCAGTATCTGTCAACAAAAGTGGGTTTAATGTCGATAATGACTGCTTCGCCACACCGTAGACTGTTGGATGTTGACAGATAACGCGCTGTAGCGTAGAAAGAGTAGAGTGGAAAACGAGCGTCGGCGATGCAACGGTTTAGCCCATGCACCCGGAAAGAGTAAGGTCTGGGTTCAAATCCCGGCCGATGCAAACGTTTTTGCGCTCCACTCTACATCATTATTGGGTTCATTTGAAAAATTTTTTCAGACTTAATCCGGAAAGAATAACCTCAAACTTCTTGGAAGCCTTTACTTGTAAAATATTTTCTATCGCATGCAATCGCAATTGAAGTATTGCTCTCGTGAGCCTTTGTCTTCTTCTAGAAAAGACCTAGTCCACTAAGTTATTTATTCATTGGATAGCCCGAAAACTGAAAATGAAATATGTGAAGTTTCTTCTACGCTGCATAGAACATCGAATCCTTCCGAACTTCATGAAGCGAAAACGACTTCACGCGAAATGTGGTGTACCAGAGGACAGCCATCGAATACTGAATATCGAAATGAAAGTGCTCGGCGTCTGTCTACGAAACAAGCAAGACAAGCCGTACGCTATGCTGAAGAAGTGAGAGGCGAAGGAATATTATTGTGATCAGTATTTGGAAGGCAACCTTTAGAGGAGAATAGTTGGTGGGTCATATTTGATTTGCGAGTTCATTAGGTTGAATGCTACAATTACCTTACAGAGAAAGTTCGATGATTTTTGAATAGATCGCATAACATGATTTTGAGAAGGCATACGGATACCGCAAATGAAGAACAAGCGAGTCACAATAGTGCAAGTAATGCACCAAGAAATTTGAGGATCACTGTGCTAGGAGGCATAACTCTTCCTTATGGTACGCACTCGTTGTTAGAAATTGGCCCAAGCTTTTCACCATCTCAATCCATTTCTAAGGTGCCCTTGTGTAATGTTACATATGGTTTACATGAATTGCAAAATCAACTCCGTAGAAAGGCCAAAGCTAAGAGACGAATAGGAATGAACAGCAAGTAGACAATGCACCAATACCACCATTTCCTCAGCCGTTCCATAGACAGCGTGACTCACGAGGAGATTGATAGAAAAATTCCAGAAATTTGCTAGCGAGACCTTAGAACCCTCACTTAGAAATCTCACGAAAAGATTCCAATCGCACCTCACCTAACAACAAAGGCGTGTCATGAAAGAGGTTCGAGAGTTGATAAGGGAAGGAAGAATAAGGCTACCAGTTAGTGATAAGAGCGGAGAATTCGTTAGGATTCCTCGGCGATTAGACATGGCAATAACGAATAAGCATCTCGAAGACTATTCGCTTTACCGATCATCTTCTATGAAGGAATTCAAAAGGCGCAATCGCAAAATAAACAGTGAGTGGGTCCATGCGGCAAAAGCGGAAGGCTTAAGACAATTTATCATTTCTCAATTGAAAATCCAATCAGCAATATGTCCTGTCTCATACTTACTTATAAATACACATAAGTTAGTATTCACTGATGATCTAATGTCTAACGATCCATCTATATTCAAAGTTAGACCCATCATCAGATGTGTAGGCGGACCAACAAATAGGATAGCATGATTATACTTTAATAACATCGCAGTTGCTAGGACACATTTCAGTCCATATGACGAACACTTACATGTTCCTAGATCGTCTACGTAACGCGAACCCGAGCAAGGCGTACGTAATGGAGTCATTCGACGTCACTGCTTTATATACCAACGTGTCGAATGAATCTTCATTGCAAGCCACACATGAGCTTCTGATACTACACCACGGAGCTGTAAACATGTATAGCTTGTCGACTGAGCAGTTCTAGTCCTGTTAAAATAGTGCCTGAACTGCTCAATCTTCATATGGTCAGGGAAATATTATGCTCAAATGAGAGGGCTGGCAATGGGCAGCAACTGGCATCTAGTCTGGCGATTGCCTTTATGTTGAAAGTGGAAGCACCAGTGATGGATCTCCGGCCATTACTCTAGTGTAGGTATATAGATAATTGTTTGGTTATCTGTTCCACTCAAGAGGAGCTGGATAATTGCTTTAGATTGTTGAATGAACAATCAGAATATATAAAAATCACCCTTGAGATACCAAAAGATGATTGGCTCCCTTTCTCGTACGTGGAAATAAACGTAACCGTGAGCGACTAAATAACAAAGTGGTACCGAAAACCAAATAGTAAGAAAATCTGGTTCATTATCTCTCCTTTATTCCCTCACATACGAAAAAGGCGCTAGTAAAGAACATGTTTCGAACAGCTGCCAACGTATGTACTGGGGAGGAGCAGAGAGTAGAATCCTTAAAACTGGCTCGAAAATAACCACCTCTAATGAATATGAATTTGTAACTCCTTGGCTTGCGTCTAGAGGAAAGAGTACGCCTCCGAACGAAAACTCGAATAAAAGAAAAGTCCCGTTCTCCTTCCTGTTCTTTTCAAATGAGATTAGCACAGGTATAAAACGCTGTTTGAAAAGCGCGGGTTTAGAGCAATCGGTGGCTATTACTGAAATACCACCGAATACTCTAAAACGCCAACTAGTTCGCAACCGCTTATATGACCGTCTCTGTATAACGAAAGATTGTAAATTATGTCCTAACGGCAGAGACGGTGACTGCATGAGCGTAGCTACAGTCTACCTAATCTCTTGCAAAGCTTGTAGTGATAAAGATATAGGCGGAAACGGGTAGGCCGCTCTTTGCACGCATAGAAGAACTCCTAGCTGACAAGCGTCTTAATAGGCGGAACACCCCGCTAGGGACGCATAGAGAACAGAAAGACGACGGAGACGATTTTGAGATTGAATTCACCATCCTTGCGCAGGAACAAAAAACATCAGCGCAAAAAACTCTGAAAGTATTTTGGATTAACACCACCAATTCAACTATAACCGCAGGGAGGAATGCCTCGTTATCACACGTGATTTGAGTCGGTAAATAAGACTGTTGTTTTGATGGGTAAGGTGCATTACGAGCCTATGTGATTTCCTTCCGGTGATCTCCACTTGGATCATTCAGAGGAACACATATAAAAAGCAATTTGTTGAGAGTTGATTTTGTGCTTGATGCGATTGAAATCAGGTCTGGTGACTTTTTCTAAAGGAGAAATGGAGGTGTGTGACTGCTTGGATTGCAGAAAACTTGACCTTTCCAGGCTCTGAAGAAAGCGAACTGCCGAAACGTTAGCTGTTGAATAAAGATTAATGTAATATCCGGTGTTTGGCCTAAAGAAAATAATTAGGAATTTTCAGAGCCAAGCTTGGCTTTCCAAATAGGCATCTTCTACTTGTGCTACTAACGAAAAAATAATAATACTTTGCGTTTGACGTAATCAACCCTTTCCTTCAATTTACAGCAGATTTCTCGATGCGTATATAGTGGAGCTTTATACGAAAAAGACCTCATTATTGCAAAAATTTGGTTCAATTATTGCCAGAGGTGCTTTTATAAAAGTAATTTCAGTAAAAGGAGCGCTCTCAGATCTTTCAAAAATTTAACTTGCTATCTAAAAGCTACATTGTTGAGAAAACAAATTCTAAACCCTTAGTAGAACATCAAGCCTAAAACCTTATTTTACTTAATGCTGATACCGTTAACATTTTACCAATATATTCATCAACAAACGACAACCCCTAATAACTACAACAAGCAAAGACAATCACAAATTGCAAAATCTGTAATGATGCAGAAGCATCTCTCGGACACCTTTCCGTTATTTCAACTCTGATTGAGCCATTTGTCTGAAACATAATTCGTAAGCTTGGCGCTGTTGCAAACGTTCAAATCAAAAATTCAATTAAAGTAAGTTTTCTTTCCTACCAATTCATGTGTAGCACTTTTGCTGAAATTTCTCTCATTGTTGTCTCCGTTTTTGTCAGCTAGGTTACTCAAGCAACGCCTCTTGAGCACTCAATAGTAGAAAAGTTAACGAAAGGCCGGCACTGTAATAATTCTCATTCTGGCATGGAGAAAGCCACAATGTGTGGTTTCATGCATCATTGAGATATCCATACAAAAGTTGAAAAGAAGTAAGCACTTGTGCGACTCTCGAATTAAAGTTGCTAAATATGAAGATTTCCAATAACCATAAACTCTGACTATTACATTATCGTATCTAAAGCGCACAGAAAATCTTCCAGTAAAATTCTTGACGACTCAGCAATTCAATTAGAACAATGAAGAACTATTTTGATGAAGAATTGCTACGACAAGGAACTGCTTATTCAGCACTTCAGCAACCGTAAAAAATCATATCATAGCCAAGAACATTACACCAACGACGGTGCTTCAGAGTTGTTGTCCAAAATGGACGAAACAGAATTTATCACAGCTCTTTCTGATTATGAGGGAACAAATGAAAACCGACCTCATTCGCTAAAGAAGAACTTTTCTCAGACTACAGCCTCACGTTGCCGTTTTCGAAACACCTTTGACGCTGTAACATTCGAAATAAATCATGATTCACAAAGCACGCGTTTCTTTCCTTATCTCGCTTATATTGAGCTGGACAAGATTCCATTCTTTGAGTGCTAGTACTCAAACCATAGCACAAGTCTCGAAGAACTGAAAATGTGTCTGCTTTTCGGAAAAGTACTTCTAATGGCAATGTAGGAGAACTAAAAGTGTTACACTTTCCATTTGTTTTTTTATTCCTGTGGCGATAGCGGGTCTATAGAAGGCGTCTAGGCTGATTCTTATGTCGTATACAAACACTTACTTGTAGCTGCTCTAATATATGCTTATACAAACTTGCTTTGCATAGGCCACAAATACGTCTTGCTATAATACAGATCGACTTTCTGAGGGAGTTACATCTTTTCATAATCAGGACTACTAATCTTCTTGCCAGTCTGTCTTCATCCTCTTTGACTACATGACTTTTTGTATTACGATTTACTTTCAATAGGCACCTAGTGAATTCCAAAAGCGCGATAATTTCCAATGATATAAATTGCGTAGAATGGTTTGATATTTTATTTAGCTAATACTTTAGAACCATGGATGATATTTGTTTGAAACAAGCCTTTAACTGAGGATATGACATATTTGAGCCAAAGGTCTACTGCTATATAGGCGCCTATTTCGTCCTATTGGGACTCATCAGTAGCACCCTCCCTCGGTTCCGTCGATCCCTTGAGGTGAAATAATCCTCTAAGGAATCGACGCC